TAAATCAACAGTTTTATTAGATACAATCATAAATTTTGTTTTGTCTTCATTACTGATTAGGCCCATCTTTCTTGTTGCATTTTTAAGCGAGACAAAAGCCTCAACCACAGCTCGTTCTGATCGCCCAATGATCTCTTTGTCATCAGCGAAAGCCAGCAGTTGAATGGCTCCGTGCAAGATGGTTCCACTTGTGTTTATTCCAGAGTCTCTTATGGCCTTTTCTAAAACTATATTAAACAGCAGGCAAAATAGTGAGTCTTCCCTTTTTAATCCTTTCTCAGTATAAAAAGGTTCTGAAAGATAAGTTGAAATTTTTATTCTACATATCACTTTTTTAAGGTCATCATTGTGAGGCTTGTCCGAATATTAAATTGTAACATCGCTTCAAGTAGTTTTCTCTGTTAATACTGTCATAGGCAGCTTTAAATTCAACAAACAGGTGGTAGCTGTCAATATTACATTCTTTAGTTCTTTATAAGAGTTGTCTAAAAGAATGTAATTGATCAGTTGTTGTTTTTCCCTTCTGGAATCCACACTGTAATTCCCAATAACATTACAAGTATATGCAAGCAATCGTTTATACAAAATAATGGAAAAGATTTTATATGCTGAATTCAATAACTTAATTCCTCTGTAATTACTACATTCTAGCTTGTCTCCTTTTTTATAAATAGGACAAACAAATCCTTCTTCCCACTCACTGGGCATTTGTTCCTGTGCCCATATAGAACAAATTAGATAATGGATTGCTTTATTTAAATTCGTTTAATTGAAATTTAAAAACTCTGCCTTGATGCCATCTGATACAGCTGATTTATTATTTAACTTTTTAACTGCCAGTTCAACATCATATAGAGTTGGTGGATTATGCTTCATAACCTCATCTTAACAACTCATTCAGTTAAAAGTCTTGAATGCGGACTCGTAGGGACTTCGGCGATTCCGGATTATAGATCATTAGTTTAAATTTGGTAGGATGGCATGCAGAAATTATGAAATAAAGAACAATTATGATCTAAAGGGTATCAAAATTTACAAAAAAAAAAAAAAAAAAAAAAAAAAGCTTAATATTTATTTTACTTTATCAAGCATTTCTTTCAATGTAAGTTGCTTTGTTTTATGTGATAATACTTTCTCTTTAATTCTATAAACAGACATAATTTCTTGTTCAGTTACAAAGTTCCACTGTTCAAGTCCTATAATTGCCGTGTGGAGAATAATGCCTAATTTGTCAATTGAAATTTTTTCATTTTCAATAACCTCTGTGTCAATTTCTTTACTATTGGAAGCAAATTATAATGACGGGGAATTTGATTTAAATCATATCAAAGACTGAGTACATCGAGATGAAATACTACATTTAGTAAGGAATTCTAAGCCAAATAAAATAAAAACATCTGCTCTGAAGATAAGGATAGTGCAGACAAATCAACTTCCAATTCATTGCGCGCCACGACGATCCCCCCCGCAGAGCAGCGTGATAAACAGATTTCGGAATGGTTAGAGAAACAAAGGATATGCCTTTATCCATTTTTTGCAGCAATTCCACTTTTTGTTTGATGGACATTGAAACATTCACTTTGTAGATGATCCTTTGGCAGCTCCAGCATCGGAAATTTTATTTGACATAATCGAAAGTTCAAGCCTACTTTTATAAAATTGCTTGCTCTAACAGTCTGCAAAAAATAATAAGCCGGATCTAATTCGAAGATTAAGGAACAATGCAATCTGCAACATTAACTGAAATAGATAATTAGATAATTTTAGCTTAGCTTATACTGTCCGTTATACATTAAACGTGCATACATAAACGTATTATGCGCATGCGTAAAAGTATTACGCACATGCACAGAAGGTTTGTAGCTTTGAGGTCTGGATTATAGATCATTCCCGATTAACAACTTTTGACCGTAGTAGGTAGCCTGTTATTAAGTAGTTATCGCCTCTTCTCTCACCCATGTCTCTGGTGATTTCATTTTTTTTTTCTACAAGTTATTGTTTTGGGATTAAAATCAGCTCTGGTACTATTTATCAGCTGATAAATGTTCCTACCTTCTTTGTGTTTACAGATTCTCAATATCTCTGTAAACTTCATCCAAGTACAATCGCTTTTTCTTTCTATGAATTCTCTTCTCCTCTATTCTTAATTCCTTGTACCTTTCCTCTGCAATTTTTAGTCTACATGCTTCATTCTTCCTTTTTGTAATCTTACTGCATTCCTCATCAAACCAATAATTGTTTTATTTCCGAGTATTGTATTCTCATATGCCTCAACAATAATTTTTCTTTAGATTTTGCCAAGCATTCTCAGCTGTCGAGGTTTCCCCACTTGTTGACAATTTACTCTGTAGTTCTCTCCTGTACTTTTCAATTATCTTTTTCCTTCAGTTGTTCAATATCAAGCTTTTTAGACTTTGTTCCCTTCTTTTATTGGGCCCACCAGCGGCCGAGCGGTAAAGTCGCTGAAGACTGGTTGTTCGGTCCGAGGTTCGAATCCTGTGAACGGGCTGGCTGCATGGCAGTTTTCGTGGTTTTCCCCATGTGTAACACGTATACAAGCCAGGTTTCCTTAGAAAGTCCTCCACGAAGGCATCCCTGCCTTAGGCAGATAGCCCAAAACCAAAACCTCCTTTTATTGTAAGATGTGTTGATCTTATAACGCGATTTCAAAATAATTAGAAAGTGGTCAGAATCCACATTTGCACCTCTGAATAATCATACATCTATAAGACGACTTAGTGTCTTAAGTCTATCACTATGTGATCTATCTGATTTTGAGTTTTTCCATTTGGAGATCTCCAGGTGACTTTATGTATATTTTTATGCTTGAATGCTGTACTTCCAATCATCATATTAGCGGAGATGGCTAAGTTCATAAGTCTAATACCATTTGACTCCCTGTGTAGACTGTGTTTCCCCACAAACACAGTCTTCATTGTGATCAATCTTTGCATGAAAAATCACCCAATATAAGTTTTGTATCATTTGAGCGACATTCACTATGAGTTTTATCAAGGTAATAAAATCTGTCCTTTTCCTCATTTCCTTTATCCTCAGTGGGGACATGGGCATACATGAGTGAAATACTATGTGTCTTACCCTCGATACATAGCCTAAAAATCCTCTCATTCACTGGCTTAAATTCGATGATTCACTTGTTTACCAGTAATAAAACCAGTTCCAAACTAATGTATTATATCATGGTAGCAGCTAAAATGAACACAGCAATTACGTTTATCAACAATCACTCCATTCCAGTCCATCTCATCTCTTAGACGGTCAGCATATCTAATTTATACTCGATAAAAACATCAGTAAGCATTTTCAAAGCTTCGCCTTTTATATAAAGTTCTTATGTCAAATGGCTATATAGCATGTTAAAAAGTTAAGTGTATTTGGATGCCAAGTGAAATAAAATAATGCCAGAAAACCTAGGACATATCAATAAAGATAATTTATTGTTCTCTGAAATGTAGAAAGCTTTGAAAAGTGTTCAAGAGACAAAATGCCCATATTTGCTGAATATGTAAAGGTGAAAAAAATGCTGTTACCGTCCGCAGGCATTTTGGCGTAAGATGTCTATTCGGAATATGGTCACCATGGAGTGCGATGTAAAACACATCGTGTCAAACTTTGGCCAACATTATCCAACAGCTGTTGGGATAATTTATACCATTCCTCTGTCGTGCATGGATGAAGGTGTCCTTGCTTATCGGAGAGCACTGTTGACAAAAAGACTCCTCCCCAAAGTATCCCAAACATTTTCAGTGAGTTTCAGGTATGAAAAACATACAGGCTATATGAAGTGTTGAATATCCTTGCTCTCTAGACACTCCTGGTCAACTACTGTTCGATGACATGTTTTGTTATCGCCCATGAACAGCACCACGGTACATGAGGTAGCAGAACACCATTAATGTATCACTGACTAGTCATAATCCCAGCTGCAACTACACGTAGGGGCGTGTGGCCATTGATTATAGTACTGGCTCATACTATGATAGTGCATCTCAGATACCAGTCCTTTCCTGGATATTTTCTGGACGATAAGCAGTACCACTCTCATGGCAGATCAGTTGGCATCTATAATCCAGCAACAGATTGAAATTTAAGGATAGCACACAAACCTAGTCCCATCGAGTCCAATTACGATGCTCGTGATGCCATTGCAAATGGGCATTACGTAGCTCTCTGAGCAAAGGAATGCACCCACCAGGACAGGAGACATATAGTCCTCCTTAATGCAAACACCTAGCTACAGGATTTTGGAAGATTCGCTTGCCAGCAGCAGCAAGTAACTGATCTGCTATGTTAGTTCCTTTTAGCCAATAGCACTACGTACCTATCTTTTGCAGGTGCCATACTGCAAACATGAGATCCTAATGACATTTGCTTTACATTCCATTTGTTTCAAATATTTTCCAAAGCCTTGACACAACACTGTAGCTGATGTCGAACTCCCTAGAAACATCTGTTCCTTTTCTCCTCCTTAGAGGTTGCCAAAAATACATCTACATGTAAAATCATCCAAGTAATGTTGAAAAGACATATCGAAACTTGCAAGTTCATCAACTGATTCTTTCCCATTAAATTTTGCTTTTAAGCAACAAAGGTCAATACATGTCAAAACCTTTATTTCTTTTATCAGCATCGGCAATTAAAAATTTGCATATGCACAACATGTCTTACTGTATCACGCACTTATGTTAACATTCACATTTTCCTACATTCCATTTTGTGATGGCTATCATCTTCCATCCTTAGCAATTGTCCACCAATGTATTAATGGAGTAATGAAAAAAATTCGAACATTTTAAATCTGGCTGTAAATCCTGGCTTCAAAAGAAACAAATGACATGGAATGTAATTTTTACAAACTGGTATTTTAAAATAAAGAATACAACAAAACATAAGCAGTCTAGTCTACATGTACATTTCACCATTTTTTGGCAAATTTAATTTTTTAAGAGTCTAATTTAAAAAATAAATAAAAACAAATATTGGATGGATTATGATTTTATTACAAAAAATGTTCAAAACATGAGGATCACATTTGAATTTTCTTTACATTCCCACTAGATTTTAATCCAGTTTCTAGACATAGCATGGATTTGAATTCTAAACCAAGAATAATAGATTAAAGTATATACATGAAATTAATGCAAAATTACAATCATTTTTTGCTTACTAGTGATTTTCAAGAGAATACATGCACTTAATTTTTCATTTAAGGTGAATGAAAATGCATGAAATAAAAACAAACTATACAGTCAAGTGGAATTTTGTATTATATTTTTGGCTAAACTGAAACACTTTAGAAATAGCTAAAGAAGTACAAACAACTACGCAAAAGGAAAGTTATTCATTTTATAATCAATGATACACAAAAATGTTTTTGAAGTAAATAAGTATTTAATTTGATTATTAATGAAAATATAATTTCTACTTGTTAGAAGTAGTTTAGAATCAGCAGCACTGTGATATTCACTTGATTAAATGATTTCATTCCTCATAAATCAAGAAAATTTCAGATCATAACTTTTATGGCACTAAACTATATACTTTTATCGAAATCATATTAGACTCTTTCTCTCCGTATATCTTAAAATAAAACTAAACAATGTTTCTGTGGTTCTCAAAAAAAAAAAAAAAAAAAAAAAAAAAAAAAAAAACGTTTTTGGACAGTGGACCTAAGAAAAAAGTTTAACATATCCTCTGATAAAATTTTTAAAAATGGCAGTAACAAATTGCGAACATTTTTCATAATAACTCATAAATTGCTGAAAAACGTCCAATGAGCCAAAGCTATTTAAATTTCTTTTAATAACTGCCCTAGCATTACCTCTTTGTTGCTTCGTTTGTTAAATGATTATAACACTGGTGAATGCAAAATGCAGCACACAATTTTTCCTACAACTGCATTTTCTCGGCTACAACAGCAGATTTCTGTCTGCAACCTTTTATATCAGTATGCTTTTGATACTGTATTGCATACACATCAACCACACAAAAGGATGATAGAATCATAGGGATCATTCATATGGGAAACTAATTTATGCACTAAAACAAGAAACTAAATCCAATTTGGGATATAAATGTGCATGCACCTTTATGCAAATCTCAGTCCTATTTGACTAAAAAAAAAATTCACTAGGGCACTCAAAACTTGTTTTTACACTTTTAATAAATATCAATTTTTAACGTAAAGAAAGCAATTTTTAAAGTGATGGTAACATCATGCTGAAGCACAGCTATGCAAGTATTATTTTAGTTTGTTATACTGATCAGAGCAGATAATTAAAATCTTATTTGCATAGTGTTGCCCTGATGAAGACTGTTGTGATAAACAGTGTTTGACTTGGATTTACTGGCACTTTTATCATGCGGCAGTGTTATGCAGTGATTCTACCTAGTCATAAATGACGCCATGCTATGCACACAAACATGAGAAAGAGAAAGATGACAAAATCACTTTTTTTAAAAAAATATATATATATGAATGCAAAATAAGTCAATCTTCTTTGAGTACTTTTAGTTTAGAACTTTATATGGGTTCCAAAAATAAAAAATACAAATCTTGAAGTCTGTCTATTACTGAAGTGATTGTCTATATTAAATAAAAATATAATATATGGTATCTGAACTCTTTAGGCAGATTAAGCATAACATTATTCCCCCCCCCCTCCAAAAAAAAGTTTTAGAGAGATTACTGAGAGCACACGAAATTTACAGTTCTAAAACTAATTTAACTCCTTGTGTCTAAATGTTCAGTTTTGCCTATAACAGTAGTTCTCTGTCTAAATTACCGTCTGATTATCTACTGCCACCAAAATAATCAAAGTACTCATTATAATACAATATCTAGAATAGTTCATGCAAATTTTTATAAAAAAAAGCAAATTTGTTAAAACAAATTTATTATGTTTCTGTACAAAATGCTACAATACAATCAAACATTCTGAATGGATAGCATCAGACATAGTATTGACTGAAACAAGAAACAAAGGACTGAAACTAATATATAAAATATGGTAACATTACACAAAATATAAATAAAATACAAAGTATAATATTATACAAAATATAAATAATATATAACAGCACAGCATTTTACACCAATTTTACAGACTAATTATGTGAAACTAATTTAAAGCACCAAAGCAAATATTATAATATTAACATTATGCAGAAAACATTAAAATGAGGCAACTGTATTTTCATACAGGAAAATAAATATAGTTCAACATTTCTTTATAAATTTACATACATAGATACACGATAGATGTCTATTTAACTTATATCTACAGAAATAAATCTGTATTGAGCTAACAGATCATGTTTTTAATTTTTTTTTTTTTTTTTTTTTTTTTTTTTTTTGCGAATGTGATAATTAAAATTCCAATGATATAGATGCATGCTTACAAATATGAAAAACATTAACTTTTTAGAGCAGAACATTACAGAAAAAAATCTTTTTTAATCTTGATCTGCAAGACAAGAGAAATTAGGCAGAAATAAGAGTAACAATGAACAAATTTAAAGTTGCAGTGAAGCTCCAATAATCCAGCACTGCATAATTCATAAATGCCTTAAAACATTCATTTTTGGCATCATTTACAAGTACTATTCTCATAATATTGAAATAACAAATTTAACAAAATTTTTTTTCTTACACAAACACTTTGCCAAAAATATACTACATTTATTATACCACTGCGTGTGAACTATAGGAATTCTATAGCATCAAATAGAATCAATAATATAATACAAATTAATTTTTAATAAAATTATTATGCATGAATTTTAATAAATCATTATGAATTAATTTGAAATCTTTTGCTGAAGTTCAGTTGCAAATTATGACAGTAGAATTAAACTTTGTACATGCTACGATACCATTGTGGGAATTATAATCAAACATTGCTTCCATCCAGTTTTCGATTCCGACTGAAAAAAATAAAATAACCCATCAACTATAACAAAAAATTTACCACCACAAATCTCAATTTACTCATCACTCCAATATTTTTTTTAAAAAAATACCTTTCTTAAAAGTATTTATTTCCAGCATCAATTCTTCTGAAAAATGTATTAATTTTTACATATTTATCACAGATGAAAACATAAGCAATACATATCTAATTTGTTTCATTATACTGCTTATATTTACATGCTAGTACATTTGGAAAAAGGTTTCAGCATAAAAACACATGTGTAAGAAATAATAAGATTCTTCAATGATAATTTCAATACAATTATGATACAGTGGATAAAAAATATGGGGCAGTTCTATATATCATTCTGTCCAGCCAACTGCTAAAAATCAACTTGCATTTCTTACGTCTGAAAAGCACAACTTAGGATACATGCATATAGCATAGTTCAATTCAGCAATGAGCTGATTTCGACTACAGGTCGGTGTGCTGGATGTTGGTCTGGTTGAATGTAACACAAGCAGACAGAAGGTAGACATAGAGGAGAAACATGTGATTAACACAAGTTGAATTGTGTCAACTTGTCACAGTCACAGCTTGTCCGTCAATGTATATGGTGGTCAAAGTCTGGTGTGCCGAAAAGTCTCATGCAAATAATAAGAGTACCTACTTGGCACATTAAGCTGCTTGTAACTTTCATCCAAATGCAGATCTTATGGATATTTGTAGCATCAATTTAATAAGCTGTTATAAATTTTAGTTGCTGCTTTTGTTGTTATAAAATGAAACATGTTTTTAAGTGCCACCTATTCCCACATGGCTACAAAGAAGCAAGAAAAATGGAAGGCAAACATCATGAATTTAAACTTGAATAAAACAAATCATTCCATATATATAAAATCCAAATGCCCTTCCAGTCGGTCTTATTTGCCAAGAAAAAATCATGCATAATAAAAAATCGAATTTACAGACACTTTACGAGTAAACAAGCATCATTTAGCAGTAAGTATCTTGCTTGTGATGCGAGAAAGAATGCCGTTAAGGAACTTCATAAGTGTCAAAAGAAACCAAGTTCTGTACTTAATTACTAGCAACCTTCCAACAATGTTAATATTGCAAGCTTCAATATGCATATGGTGAACACATTAAAAGTTTTTATAAATGCATCCAAAGAGCTGGATTTTCTGAAATTTTAAGAACAAAGAAGAAATTAAAGACTTGCCACTGTACTAAAACAGAAAAGACCTCAAATAATCCTCAAATTTAACCAATCAGCAAATCAAAGATCTTAAATTGATTTCAGCTTTATCAATAGCTGTAGATGAATCTTGTGACATCAATGACACAGAAAAGCTTCCCCTTTGGTTTGATTTTTTTTCTGTTAAAGGACTTATAAGATTACTGCCAATGAAAGGTCAAACACATGGTGAGGCTATTACACATGCTGTCACTGAGTGCATGGAGAAACATCATATTCCATTCAATAAAATTGTTTCAGTTTCAACAGATGGGGCAAAAAGTAATCCCAGAGTGAAAGGTTATGTTTATATTTCAAAGGAAATCAATAATCACAAGATACTTGTTTACCTTTGCGTCAATCATTAAGAAGTATTTAGTGCCCAGATGCTTCCAACAAAAATTTGCAGTGTTATGGAGTTGATAATCAAGATTGTCAACATAATGGAAGCTAACACTCTTTAACAAATAAATTTTGGGTTGAAATGGAAAGCAAATGTGCAGATACTCAGCTGCATAATTAGGTATGTCAACCAAGAGGAAATGTATTGAAATGTTTCTCTTTCTTATTATTAGAAATTAAAACATTTCTCCTTGAGAAGGGTGTGGACTATCCTGAACTAACAGATGATCATCGGATCCCAAAACTTTTATTTCATGGTAGACACTGTGTTTCATCAAATAACCTTAACTACAGGGGAGTTGAAACACTTCTCTCCTTGCAATGTGTGTGCAAAGCCATTGTACTTGAAAACAAATTATCCCTTTCTCTCAAAAGGTTTAGAAGGAGGGAGGTAATTTATTTTCCAAACCTGCTAAAACATTGCAAAGAAAATACTCTTTTATATAGGTAGTGGCACTTTTGAAATACAAACTGAAGTTTAAAAAAAAAAAAAAAAAAAAAATTATGGAGCGCTAAATTTGAATGCCTTAATGCTGATGTGGAAAATAGGAGAAAAATTACTATAACTTTAGTTAACAACAAAAGTTTTGTTTTGAAAGATCTAGAAACGGAACACATGGTAATTTTTAAACACCTAGAATAGTACTCCCAACTCATACAGGGTTCATAGCCACATTTTAGTTAAAAAAATAAGCACCTATAAGCACTTTTCAAGCACATTTTAAGAAAAAAAATAAGCACCTGTCTAAGTACACCTCATACAACAAATGACTTATTTTATGAGAAATTTATTAAGAGACAAATTACCTCAACCATTAATTTTTTTTTTTTTTTTTTTTTTTTAGTTTTAAAACAATAGTTCAATTTACAGAACTTTTTTACAATGAAAAGAAAAAAAAAACAAAAAGAAAAAAACTATGAAGAACTATATTAAAGATTTAATGAAAAATTCAGTTCAAAATAGAGAAATAATTAATAATATATATATATTTATTTCGCTTGGAGCCTAACAATAACAATTTATTTATTTTTCTACTAATATTGATATTGAATTAATTTAAATCTAATTCTGAACATTTTCTATTTTAATCGTATATCACGCAACCGAATTGCAAGCAAAGTAATTTAAGTAACAAAGAGGAACACTTCTGAAATCAGAAGACAGAAATTTGCTACATGCAGTTATCCTTTAACAGTAAAAGCTTAACTAACCCGCATACTTGGAAAATTGGCGAATATTCGGATAGTCGTGCGTATGCGTAACTTGAAGGAGCGGGGGGTAGACTGTAGCCGCTCTTTAGATTTTCCGCACTAAATAAATGCTTTTGACATTTCAATATGCGCATCATATCAAAAATAAACCAACGGAACTAAAAAATATTCTGCTTAGCAAACGCAATAAAACTCTTTTAAATGTTCATAAACAAATCTCCAGGAACTGAACATCAAAATGAATTATCCTCTGCAAAATATCGCAAACGTTATTGCGTGCAATATGTGCGTCCGTATTAATTCTTTCCCTACGCGATATTACGCAATCGGAATCAAGAACAACCGCCGGTATTGGGAGAATAAAGAACTAAATAACTGGTGTTTATTGACTCATATTGATATTTAAATAATTTAAATCTAAATTCTGAACATTTTCTAAATTTTCATTGTATATCAGTTTTCTCTTAACAGATATTGCAAGCAAAGTAATAAGTAAAAAAGAGGAACATTTCTGAAATCAGAAGACAGAAATTTGCTTCATGCAGTCATCTTTAACAGTAAAAGGTTTACTAACCCGCACGCTTGGAAATTGGTGAATATTCGAACAGTCGAGCATAACTTGAAGGAGCGGGGGGTAGACTGTAGTGCATCATATAAAAAGTAAACCAACGAAAGCGGAAAAAAAAAAAAAAAAAAAAATCTGCTTAGCAAGCACAGTAAAACTCTTTTAAGTGTTCATAAATAAATCTCGGACTGAACATCAAAATTAATTATCTCTGAAAAATATTGCAAACGTTATTGCGCAATACGTGTGCCGTAATTCTTCCCTACGTGACATTACACCATTGGAATCAACAACTGCTGGTACTAGGAGAATAAAGAACTAAATAACTGGGGTGTTTTTCATTCTAATTTTCAACAGATGGCGTTAAATTTCCGGAATAGAATCATTCTTCGCTTGGGTTGGTAGACCGCAGAACTTTTAGTCCTATTCAACCCAAAGTGGGGGGGAAAAAAAAAGTCCGTTGCTTGTTTTGCAGTGAACTGTAACGGTTTCAATATTCACGATTTTGCGGAGAAAGGCAAGACCTCCCAACCTTCGTACTATATAATATATTGGCCAAAAAAATGAAATTATTTTGACTATTCGATTACTTTCCCTTTAGTTAAGCCATTCCGAATATTATTCCTTAGAAAGCTAATCTGTGTTAAAAGAGAACCATTTTTGGAAGTTTACTATACTTCAGTTACTGCAACTATGTTATTATAAACATTCATACATGCTCATAATATAAGCATAACGATCATAATAAACACGAATATGAACTGACCAAGCAGAATGAGAATGCAAATTTATAAGATTTTGATATAAATTCAAACGTGTGTAGTATTTGGGTGGGAGGAAAAGAATGCCGAATATAGCGGAATTTTCTACAGCTTTCGCAATTCTTTGACCAATAGAACGACGGGCACCTGTCTGTACTCTTCGTGCACACCAAAGGTTATGTTAATGCAGAGAAAGGGGGAAAAGCTATTTCCGGGAGTATGACTCACCATCTGACATTCCATATTAGGAAGAAAAGTTGTTTATTTAGTTTCGGCTTTGGTACCGGGAAAAATAGCGCATTCATTAAAAAAAAAAAAGCCCTAAAAGCAAAAAATAAGCACTAAAAACAAACAAAAAAAAAAAAAAAAAAAAATAAGGGCTTTAAAGAAAAAGTAAGCACCTATAAGGGCCTTTATATTTTATTTTCAAATATAAGGACTTATAAGCACTTATAAGGACTGCTACGAACCCTGGTCATATGATCAATTAAAAAAACTAGCGTTTGTTGGGCTTTCAATCTTTGGCACTACATATTCATACAAATAATCTTTTTCAAGCACGAATCTTATCAAAAGTAAACTGAGAAATCAACTCATTTATGAGAACTAGAATCCCATTTGAAATTAAAAGGGATGACATACAAATGTGACTTAAACAAGCTTTCAAAGGAAATGCAAGGTCATTGTTCACATTAAATGTGTGTTTCATCATATTTTTATTTTAATGTAAAAATCACTTTTTGTCAATAAATATATGTCTCGTATCTCACTCTCTCTTTCTTGGAAGATGGTTATTTTTATGATATTTTGTTTTATTTTCTGTTAGTAGTTAATTT